TCCATCATGATGAATTCAAGTACTGACGCGATGAGAAATTCGGGCTTCGAACGACGCCACTTGAGAAAGGGGAAATACAGCGCATACGGCGGATGACCCATAATAATGGAGCCGAGGAACGTGCTGGCCGAGTAGCTGAGAAAGATGGTGAAAAAAAAGATGACAGCCTTTTTTCCGAAACGCGCCAATTTGTACAGTTCAGTGACTTCATCTGCGGCACGACAACGTTTGTCCAGCCGCTGAGTAAGCACGTATGTGGCACGCAGCTTTATCAACATGAAGGCCATAATTACGAGCTTGGTAGAACCGCCGTAGACGTCGAAGGTGACTTGCAGCGAAGTGAGTAGATTGCCGATATTCACCTCCTCTGCTGAAATAGTGAAGAAGATGAGCGTAAAACCGATGGGTAAATAAATTGTACCCAACATGTTGACGAATAGCGAATAAAGAACGTAGAAGAAGCGATAGCGCGTTGGCATTATGACGCCCATATAGAATCCAGCACTGAAGAGATATTTAGTACTGTCCTGGCTATGCACCGGCAGATCGGCTAAATAGTATGAGAACGGCAAGTTATTTGAGTGTTAGAACTTGTCAAAGTGCCCAGGACACAAATATTTGATTTAGGTTCAAGTGGTTTTAGAAGCGCATAGTCATTGGCGCTTTTTCATCTTCACTTACCACATTCCGCCTCCTCAGTTTCTTGTAATGATACCACCGGCTTGGTAGTGCTTAATGAAGCTAGTTGCTGCTTTTCAGCTTCCGGCAGTCGTAAAGCAAAACTTTGCTTTGATTTTGACATCATACTTATTTAAGCAACGTCTGCAGTAGCCTAATTTTTATCGATGCAGCGCAGGAGCTCTATAAACCGTGTCGCCTACAAGTTCGAGCGGAACTTTTCGATCCTCACCCGAAAGATTAGCTTTTATTCGCTATATACGATGTGCGAATATTACCGCTTTTCCATGCAGTGGAATTTGTAGGCGGATACGGTATTCCGCCCATTGAAAGGCACTTGCATAACTCATGCTTTAATTGCTATATTCGATGAGAACAATTGACACGTGCGCTCGGAAATTTCTTATTTTCAAGTGCAGACATACATACTGCACATATACTATGCCATATGTATCTACATTAGGATGGTCAAAAAATGTACAGGGACATCAAGTTTTTCTGCTGGCACCCTCATAATTATAGAAAATAAAAAAGAACCCCGTTTTTTTTTTGAAATCGAAATCCATGTACCACCATGTACACCACCTTGTATAAATTCGCCTTGGAAATCACAATACATCTGCAAAGTTTATGTGTACACTGAGATTTTTTTTTATTTAAATGAAGCAAAAAAGTACAAGCTTATTTTTATTGTACGATTAGTGAATAAAAATTGTTAACACTGGGAGTATTTACATATGTGTGGAATAATACAGTGCCTTAAGAAATGATAGCGACCTACTGGCTGAAAAGTTCCAAAATTTAGTGCGAGGAGTCCATGCACATAGTTACAGCATATTGCAAGCTCGAATTTTGCATTTTCCTTATAAAAGTCCCACTTTAAAGCGTTAATAAATGATTGCACCATTGAAGCAATATGCAACAAAATTTAATGAGGATTTGGAGTTTCTCCAAAACTTAATTTATAATTTAACTTTTTTTTTTGCGCGAAGTTTCCGGGCCATTTGTTGATATTTTCCCTGAAAGTCGCGAAATTTCATTTTTCTGCAATCCGACGTCATAAAAATGTCTCAATCCTATCAACTTTACGCGATGTGATGCTGCCAGGGATTTATATTGAATTTAGATTGGAAATCAATCATTTTCTATATCCTCTTTGAAGTTTTCCAAAAAATGTTGGTGGCAAGTTACAAAAATGGCGTTGCAAGTAATATTTCGCTATTCGTTTAATAATTATTACAACGCACAACATACAGTACGCTTTGCACTGAAAATTTTTGTAAAAAAGATCTCGCGCTTCCACACTTTAATGACGCCATGTGTGTTTTTTTGAATAAATTAAAAAAAAAGCGTTTTTCTTCATACAAATACAGCTCTGGCGACACCGTTAAATGTGAACCAATAAATAATATCGGACCTCCTTGAGAAAAAAATATAGGACCACCCTAATGTACATATGTATTCACTAATAACTTTCATTATGCTGTCATGCGGACATTTCTGACAGTTAAAAATTCTATTTGGTCTAAAAAGAAAGCAGTAATCAGTAATTGTAATTGAGTATCCATTTCAATAAGATAAAAGAATATTCAATGCGCGACACAGATGAATGCTGTTGAGTAATGTTCATTGTAGTACTGCTGTTCATTGTAGTACTGGGTCAAAGTACACTCCGTCCGGCATCAAGGTTTCGCTGTGCTTTAGGTATAGGCCAGGCATAGCTATCGGTTAAAGCTACTTTCAAACACACGATAACGGTAAACACACGTTAGAGTAGAGGTTGGTGGTAAAGCAGTTGGAATCGGTGGGGCATTTGCATGCCGAAGAGACGAAGTGAGTGAACCATATGCTGTTATAATTAATGTTCCACAGATTGTCGGAGCTGTCTCATCTCTGCAACTACGTCAGAAATCGTTAGACGGCGAAAGACCATCATTTCCATGCAAAACCCTTCAAATAGCGTCCTGTTACAGTACCAACTACTGTGCGAATTGGACGATGGTTGAGATACTGTGGCGACCGTGATCTATTCGCATTGCTTGCAGAGTTCACTAAAGTAGTTAGGTTCAGCGAGGCTTCCACTTGGAATGTCTCTATGACCTGTGGCAACCAAGACTACAAGTTGCTGCTATATGACTTTAAAGATTTCTTGCCAACTTGGGTTCGGTGTAGTCAATGAGAGCTTTTCAACTCAAAACAGGTTAAAAGCTAAACTCTGCTTGATT